TGAAAAGTCTAATAATCTTCCAAAACAAAATAAATGGCTTCGAAGTATTGAATCGAACTTTCACTTATTCAAAAAATAGTGGATGATATTAAATATTTCGAGCGAGCAAAAAAGCTTTCGAAAACTTGGAGTGGACATAATAAGAACACCTTTTACTGGTAGTATTAATTTAGACTTAAAAGCTTTATACGTGTATTAAAAAAATTTTGAATTTATATGCAATACATTTTAAAAATTCAAATTTGAATGACGGTTTGAATTTATAGCCATAAATTAAATAAATTCGGAATTCTGCTATTCTTATGTTAAACTCAGATTGATATTTAAGAAGGATTAACGTTTCCTAATCTTGAAATTTGATTGGCTAGCTAAAATCGATTTTGAAATTTAACCACGTGATAAAATTATGTGAGTCGTATAAGTTCATCAATGTTGGTTAATTTTTTTTTTTTTGTACTCTATGAAGGCTGGTTATTGTAAGTGAACAAATTATGATTGATTTTGTTCATTCCTACACGGTCTTCTCGAATAACTTTGACACACTAGCTGGAGTTTAGTGACTATACTCAATTGCCTACGTTTTTGTGGTGCGATTTGGTATGGGATGGACTAAGTTTTCCTTACCAGCGTGTCAACATTTAAGACTTCAAAAAACTCGGGCTTTGTGAGTAAACGAAAACTTTATTACTGATGGGCTCAAAAAAATTTTTTTTAAAAAGGAAACGACCGAACAAACCTTTGCAAATACAGTTTTGACAGTTTGTTCTTTGAATCTGTTTGAGTATATAAAAGTTTATATGTCCAATTGTCTAATAAGCACGATTTATATGTCCAACTCACGTCAAATACCGACACTGGGTTTGGACTAGCGGTTAGTGTTACAAATCGAAAGTTGAAATCGATTGAACATTTAGACACCAACTAATCGATTAATCGACTAAAGAATTAATCGATTGTTGCAAATGAATCGATTGAAAAATTATTTATTTACTTAATGAATTAGTTGCAACTCATCGATTAATCGATTAGTTGCAACCAACTGGAAAATAATTAACCAACTAATCGATTGAAAAAATTTTCCGATTTGTAACACTACTAGCGGTTAACCTTTTTTTTGGCAAATTGACGAAAAAAATCTCAAAATATCATATGCCATTACAATTTGTCGACATTGGTTCAATTTATAACATTAAAAATTTAATATTTGATAAATTTTATGTAAATTTTTAACAGAAAATGTACATCCCGCTATAATGTCACCTTGCAACGATTTAAAAAATACATTAAATCAAAATTTTCACGACTTGCTATTTTCATAAATTAGCATTCTTCTTCTTGTCTTGGTCTCTGTTTTAGGACAAGATCTTTACCAGTTACCCTTCGGTAAATGTTTTTGACATCATCGCACACGGTACCAAAGTGAGAAGTGGCGTCATAGGAACGGGAGATGAAAACTTGGTCCTTACATCCATCTTCAATAGGTTCCTCGAGATCACACAAACTTATAAATCTGTTATTATAGTTTCAAATATAATCGAAAGTAGGATTAATAAATGGGTGTGTAACACAACTACTGTACAGTAGATTAGATTGCAAATATTACTTCTCAACAATTGGACCAAGCAAGTCAAGACCAGGTTTAATTTCAGACTCTGGATCATTTGTTTCGACAATGGTGGATACAATAGCAAGGTAGTAGTCTTTAGCGCAAACAAAATGATTATCAGATACACTAGCAATATAAATATCTATAAATTTATAAAAAACGTTAAGTATATATGGTTAGAAAAACAAAAATAATAAAATTTATAATTTATGAAATAAGTTTATCTGACCATGTTGCCTTCTGACTTGGTTTTGTGGAATCACTAATTGAATAGAGTCCACGTTATCAGTGTTAGGTATAGGATGTTTTAGGATGCAGATAGCGCGGATAACTTTTCCGACTTTACGGACTTTATCTTTGAAATAGGACGGATCACCGATAACTTGTTTTGTCCTAGCAACCTATAATTAAAGCAAAAAATTTTAATTAGGATGTAGGATTACAGATGGGTTATTAAGTATGCAATCACAAATTCATTTAAGCATGTATTACCTCGTCACCCGAACGTACACCACAAACACGGCCATCTGCATCATAGACGATTTCATCGACCGCTTTATCGAGCATATAAGTACCACCATAAATAGCGCTCAGCCTGCGAAAACAAGTGTGAATATAAGACACAGTCAGATATAAATATCAGATATAATTTTATAATTTATAATTTATAATCGGTGATCTATAAAGAAATTCGTACCGAGCAAAACCTTGAGGCAATTCACCCAAACCGTACAATGGATAAATGTAAGGGCTCTTTCCATAACGAGCCACAGAGGAAATATAAAGAATGATTCGGTTATAACTTTCTCGAGCAGGTCGGTTAAGGTAGCTAAAGATGTAAATGTTTAATATACCAAGTAATAATATGAGAAAATATAAGAATTTCAAATTTCACATACGATTCATCCAAGTATAAAGCCATCGCATGGCCAATAAAATCTTGAGTTCCAGGTTCAAGACCAAATTTTTCATAGACTTTAGACATTGGTTCAGTGTTTAGATCGACGCCTTTAAGAAAAGGAAGATTATATTAGTTCATATGTCATTATTGAATACTTTATCTTAGTAGTTGACGTTATAAGAGTTATAAAAGTAATTATTACCTTGGTGAGTAGATGGATCATCCTCCCGCCAGTTTTGCATATACTCGAAGAATTTCTTTGCTCTTCTCTTCTCAAACATTCCCATCAAATCGCTGCGAAGAGCTTCCCCTTCGCTAGCTGGAACTTTAGAGATTTGTCCTTCACGATATACATAAGAGCCAGAAATTTGTTTGAATTCAAGGTAACGTGTAACATCGGTATGAGTAAGAATTTTGACAAGTTCTCCATTGGCCATCATAAATTTGGGAATGAGATCGATATTATAATCGCGATCACGTCCCAATTCACTAGGTGGTTCTTGCCCATTACGGAATTTTCGATAAAGCTATACAAAAACGGTTTAAATGGGGACAAAACTGAAGTTTAATCGTTAAAGAGTAACATATTCTAAAAAAAAAAAAAAAAAAAAAACCCCCAATTCCTTTTAACGTGTATATCAATAAAAGAAAAGATTTGACATAAATTACAATAAAAAATTGTCATTTATATAGATTATCATTACATTTTAACGGTAAGGTCAAATCATAAAGTTTCTAAATATTTCCCGATAAAATTTATCAAACTGACGTCATATGAGTTGATGACTTTTTTATTGGTCTTTACCTGTGTCAAGTTTAAGCTGGCACTTTCACCACCATAATAGTCGTTCCTATCCATATGAAGGACCTTTTTTCCTTCAACAGATAATAAGCCAGAGAGAATACATTCAGTTAAGCCAGTTCCGAGAACGATAACATCGTACTGTTCATCCTGCAAGCAAAAAAAACCAAGAAAGTTTAATGCCAATCACAAGGTTGAAGTTGGAGTTGAACAAAACTAAGAAGTTCATAATACGAACAGGTCATTCACTAAACATACCATAGTACTATATTAACAAAAAAAAATATAAAAAATAAAAATAAAAATAAAGAAAAAAAAGGCTAGTATATGGAAATTAAAAGTGTAAAGATCAAGAAACGACGATTAAAATTTGACAATTTATAAACATTAATGGATCAGCAAAACTTATGTCTCGGAGATTGGTTGTGTCACACACATTGTCGGGACACCAATGTGGGATAAAATTGATCTTTTAGGCATGCAGGGAAAACTTTGCTACATAATTTTATCTGGCCTACTAAATCTGGCCGAAATATGAATTTATTAGAAATTATGGTTGTGCTTTTAAACTAATTTGATAAAGAATAATCTGACTACTATGTCGCAAAACTAATTCACAAATATAGGATACAAAGATGTCACGTATCACCGATAAATATTTAATATTAATTCTATAATGATAACTATTAATTAACATGTGCACTTTCAGTCATCTACACCTTTAAAAAAACTAGGTACCCAATATTCATTGGGATATGCTTGTTCATCTATCCAACAAAGGCCATCCGAAAGTAATGTATCCTATTGAAATATGGTATTTTTGACAAAAATAGTAATGCAAATGAGAAAAAATGAACAAACTCAGAAATATAATACTTACTATAACATCATTTATGCGTTCTGTTCCCCATCCCAATTCTGATTCTATTATATCTTTAGTGACATAGCCTTTCGCCTATAAAACGACAATCGTGAATATTGCAAGAATATACAACTTTTCTAAAATGTTTTCACAATAATCATACCTGCGCCAAAGCCAATATTTCAGATTGATCTATGTTTAGTTCCCGTGGGACTGATCTTACCATTTTTCTATCACCAATTTGTAATATTTCAAATCCATTACCTAATGGTTTTAGGGTTTTAATAGAGCGTATGATATCATCACTAAACACAATATATGTTTATGCTAAATGAGAATGTTACTTTTTTTTAAAAAAAAAGACCATCTAAGCACTAGACTCACTCACTGATCTCTTGTGACGAATTGGATCCACTAATTCCACCACCACTATTACCTCCACGCATTTTTACCAATTGTCGTTTCAATTCATCTAATTCAATCAATCCCCCATTTCTACCTCGAGTAGATAAACAAATTTCGATAATCTGTACGCCAAGTTCATAATAAAAATCGCCTACTCCTAAAAATTCTGCCCAAAATCCTTTATTTGCTACATTCATACGTATAATATATTAATATTTATTCACATGAAAAATGATGAATAAAACAAAAATATTACATGCAAGTGGATCAACCCCGATATTACTGCACATTTTCTGAAAATGTGCTCGAAACATAGGATTCTTACGAATGTCTTTACGATATTTGCGAGCAAACTCTTCCAGATTTGTTTTGAAAACTTGGAGTTGTTCCTTTAGCTATTAATTTAGTAGAATCAGTTATTTGTGTGTACTATTGGATTTATTCCTTTAGAGCTTATCTTTTACCTGCTGCATTTCTATTTCCGCCTTATTGTTTCCAAACTCACGAAATTGATCCTATACAATGAAAAATCAATAAGATTCGACTATTTTAAATTATTAAAATGAAACACCTTACATTGGCCGCAATTTTCCTTTTTAAACCCGTAACTCCAAGACCTCTACGCATTGTTCTGTTGTTCTTATGTTACTGTTCAAAATTTTAAACGAAAGAGTTGGTAGTTATTATACAGTTATATCGATGTATATCGATATTTATGAAATATGTGTCGTGCACCTGACTGTAGATTTTCTTGCATTAGTTACATTAGTTACGCAGTAATTCTAAGGCACATAAACATTTGTGTAACATAATGGCCAAATATATAATTATCGTAAATTACAGAATTTTTGATTCTTCAGAAAATGTCCTCATCCACTGCTCCAATTGTTCAACCAAAAAACCCTGAAGTTCCCAGGTATAAAAGTTTAGAGAATTACTTGAAGTTTATCTATACATGTAAATAATTCTTTGCTACTTAATAGATCAGTCATTTTTAAACTCTATGTACATACTTTATTGATGGTGGTTCTTCCAATTTCCACATACTTTTATACTTCCAAATATTTTTTTGAAGGTAAATTACTAATTTATCTATTTTTGTTCTAGTTCATTGAAATTTACTTTTTTTTTTGTTTTTAGGAGATTATGGTCCTACGAAAGCTGCGCTATCTGCTGCTGGCATCGCAAATGTGGTTGTATTTTCATTCATAATCACTGCTTTCATGGAAGACTCTGGTGACAAACATCAAAAGCGAGACAAAGAAGATTAAACTGCCCCAGGATCGTGATTGCGTGGCTCAAGCCAATCAGAAATTAAAATAAATAATACATTTATTACTATATATATAAGAAAATTTTTATTTAAAAAAAGAGTATTTCTAATTTTCACCGAGGAAAAGTCATCGGAGTGCTATATCTCAAAAACGTACTAGCTAACGCACCTCAGGGGTACTAATTAAAAATGTTCAGAACCCCCAAACTTATGCTAACTAAAATTGGGGTCCTAATTCTAAGCTTCGTCTAAAATTACACCCTAACCTAAATTTTAATAATAATTATGGGGAGGGAATTCCCCCGGTTAAATGTAGTTATTTCTTAAAGTATTATCTTTTAGTTTTGCTAATTTTATGTTTATTTGATTGGTTATATTATAAAAAGGATGATATTAGCAAAAATAAAGATCAAATAACAATATTTTATTTCAAACTGATATAATTATTGTTAACATATCGGCTGATTTGCGGAATTTTAAATTAGAGTGTATTTTTTTTAAATTTTAATATCAAATAACTTTTTATAAA